GGAATCCACGGCAGCTGTAATTCGAGATTGCCATGGCTATGTCATGCCTACACATCTATCTCTCACATTCTTTCTGTCCTTCCTCTGTGATATTCCCTGAGTGTTAGAATGGGTGGTATACATGTCTTGTTTAGAGCTGAGCTCTTGTCTGCTCATGCAAAAAGAATAGCATTGGAATTTTGATGATGACTGCACTGAACCTTTTGATTAGTAAGATGGCCATTTTCACAATATTAACTCTAGTTGTGAGCATGGGAGCTCTTCCCATTTCCAAGTGTTTCAAAATTTTCACAGTAGAGGTCTTCTTTCACTTTAGATTTGCTCCAAGAAAATTTTTTCTTGAGGTAATTGTGAATGAGATTCCTTTTCCCAGTTTCTTTTTCAATATATTCTCATTGGTATATAAGGATACTGACTTTTGTGTTATGGTTTTATATCCTCCCATTTTGTTGAGTTTTTTTTTTTTTAAATCAGATCTGAGAGTTTTCTGGTAGAGTCTTTGTTGTCTCTTCTGTACAAAGTCATATCATCTGCTCATAATGAAACACGTTTCTTCCTTTCCTATTTATAGTCAGTTTTTCCTTGTCATATTGCTCTAAGACCTTAAGTACTATATTGAATGAAAATGGAGGAGTAAAGCCGTTTCTGGAGGAGCATCCTGGCACTGTTGGCAAGAGGCTATGTGTCCTCTTCCCAATATGAACTTCAGTCTGTCTTCCCACCTGGCCTGGAAGAGAAAGTTCTTCGTTCAGTGGTATAGAATGCCTATATTCAGATGCCTTCGGCCTTGAGCTAATTGCAGACCAGCTCTTGTCAGAGTCCTGACTGGATGGGGATCTACAAAAGACCCTGGCCTGACCAGTGCTGGCCAGTGACACTCCTTTTGGTAATTCAAGTTGCTGTGCGGCTACAGTGACAGTATAGCTCGTTTCTGATATGGTTGACTTTACTCAATTTGAAAGAATGTGATTGTTTTACTTTATGCTGATTTTTTATGTTAAAGATCTTATTCTTAGAGTTGATAGATGACTTCTTTATTTTGAATGCTCTTTTCAAGTCAAGTACTTGGCAGCTTTGTATGGGTTCCACCCATTTCAGGGGAAGATTGATTGCTCTGGGAAGCAGAGATTTAGATACTAATGACCTAAGAGTCAGGGACGCATTGATTCTCAACAGCTGTCTCAACCTCAGTGCTAATGACATGTGTTACTAGATGCTTCTTTGTGGTGGGCACCTACCTGGGCCTCATAGGAGTTCAGCAGTGTCATGAGCAGCTCTTTGCTAGATCCTGGCAACATCCCAATCTACCTAGATTCTAAGACTAGAAATCTGTTTTGTTTTGCTTTGGAGGCAGAGCCGAGTTTAGGATATCTTCACACTCATCTGTCTTGAGATTACGGATGAGTGCCACTATTTTGAGCTTTAGATACATGTTTGCGATATGTTCAGAGGGTTGGGGTGCAGTTTAAACTCAGCCCCAAAGTCTACTAAAAATTGCTAGTCTAGAACAGTGATTTTGAGATCAGAGTCTCAGTGTGTTAATGTGTTGTGAACTCAGTTTAGAGCATTAATATCACCAGCTCTTTAAAAGTGAAACCTGAATTTCAGTTAAGGTGCTAGGGAAATAAGGTACACACATCCAGAATGTAAAACTAGATCTCGATCTTACCAATTACAAAAACAAACAAAAACCAACTGCAAATGGATTAAAAATCCCAGTGTGGTAGCATGTGCCCATAGTCCCAGCATACAAGAGGCTCAGCCAAGAGGACCAGGAGTTTGAGACCAGCCTTGTCTCTAAAAACAAACAAACAAACAAACAAACAAACAAACAAACAAACAAACAAACAAAACCAGTTTTTAAAAAAATTAAGTTTAACTATGACACCTGAAATTCTAAACTACAAGAAGGAAAAAAATCAGAAAAAAATGCTTCAAAACATTGAAATGGGCTGGGAATATTTTGAAATAGACCTCACCCCTGCAAAATCACAAAACCAAAAACAGACAAACTAGATTACATCATTTGAAAAGCTTCATCACAGCAGTAGAAACAGCAGATCAAGGGGAAAAATATTAACCAACTATTCATCTGAAAGAAGGTTTACGTCCAAAATATACAGTGAACTAAAAATCTCAATCAGAAAAAGCAAAACAATGCAATTTAAATAGCAGTGGACTTTAACAGACATTTCTCAGTCATACAGATGGCCAACAGATACACGAATACCCAGCATGCATCATGGCTGGATCCGGACTGGCAGATTATAGGGAAGTGTGGATGCTTCTGCTGCTGAAGTGACAGCAAAGAGGGATTCTGGGGGCCATAATACCATAAACCCCCTCATAGCTGGAAGAAATTGGCCAAATTAAGGTTTTCCCTCATAATCACTTAGTCCATTTCTACAGAGGCAGGGAGTAGCTGAAGGTAGACTCCATTAGGTTTATTCCCCAGTGCAATTTTGTGCCTGTTGCAAATGTAGCCCAACAAAATATAGCCGACACAGTACTGGTGGCTGGGTGCACTAGTTATTTTCTTTGCTTCTGTGGTGGGTTGAACAGGTATGGCTCCCATAGACTCACAGGTTTGACTGCTTGGCCCATGGGGAGTGGCACTATTAGGAGGTGTGGCCTTGTTAGAGTAGGTGTGGCCTTGTTGGAGGAAGTGTGTCACTGTAGAGGCAGGCTTTGAGGTCTTATAACCTCAAGTCTGGCCATTGTAACACAGTTTTTCTTTCTGTTGCCTGTGGATCAAGATGTAAAACTCTCAGCTCCTTCTCTAGCATCATGTCTGCCTGTACACTGCCATGTTCTGCCACGATCATAATGAACTAAACCTCTGAAACTGGAAGCTAGTCACATTTAAATGTTTTGCTTTGTAAGAGTTGTCATGGTCACGGTGTCTCTTCACAGCAATAGAAACCCTAAGTTTCTGTGACCAAAAACCTGACAAGAGGCAACTTAAGGAAAAAAGTTTGTCATGTCTCACAGTTCAAGGAGATACTGTATAATATACCAGAGGAGGCATGAGGCAGGGATGGGGGAGTTGGTTAGAACATGAGCTGACTGATCATGTTACATCCTCTGCTAGGAAGCAGAGAGCAGACAGGAAACAGGGCCTAGATGTCAAACCTCAAGGCCAACCTGCAATGACTCACTTTCTCTAGCAAAGACCCACCTCCTAAAATGTTCTATAACTTTCCAAACAGTCGGGGACCAAGTGTTCAAACACGTGAGCCTATGGGTGAATTTCATACTCAGACCACCATTCTGGGTAATTTATAAAAGAAAGCTCATAGCACTTAAGGTTGGAAGTTCAAGACCAGATGATTGCCCCTGCCAAGGACGCGAGGCTTCATTGCAGCATAATCAAACAGGAGGAACAGGAGAAGCATGTAAGTATAGAAGAGGCAAGCACAAGAGGTAGTTTGACATAGCTGTCTGCTCTCCAGGTAACTAATCCAGTCTCTCAGGAGCAAGAATTCACCTAGTATTACGAAAACCATCTTCATTATGGTTTCTATTGCTGTGAAGAGACCATGACCGCGGAAACTCCTATAAAGGAAAACATTTAATTGGGGTGGCTTCCAGTTCAGAAGTTTAAGCCATTATCATCATGGTTGGGACATGGCAGCATACAGGCAGACGTGGTGCTGGGAAAGAAGCTGAGAGTTCGACATCTGCAGGCAACAGGAAGTGAATGGAGACACTGGGCATGGCTTGAGCGCTGGACACTTCAAAGCCCACCCCGTACAGTGACACACTTCCTCCAACAAGGCCATACCTACTCCAACAAGACCATACTTCCTAATAGTGCCATTCCCTATGAGCTTATGGGGGCCAAGAACATTCAAACTGCCACACTAACCCAGTAAGGAAAGGCTCCATTACATCTTAATGATCTAATTACCTCTTTTTGGGCCCATTTTCCAGCACTGCCACTGAGGAAATCTAATTTATACCAGAGTTTCAGAGGGGACACACTGTGTTTAAATCTCACCAAGCAGGACCTTACAACAGATGGTTGGATGTATTTTTGGGTATTCCATGCACAGCCCCTGCCTTGTGTCCCTTCGGACCCTTCTGCAGATGCTTAGTCTTAACTCCCTTTATTTAATCTAAAAAAGCTCTAGGAAAACTTACTTCCGTGGCCAACCACAGCACTTCCTTTTCCTTTCTTATCACACCAAATCGCTCTTTCTCTTCCCCCACTCCTTTTAAAATTAGCCCTAACATCTTTTAGCCAAGATGATTGGAATGCTTTTTCTTTTTCCACACGTATTCTAAAAAGTGGGGCTTTGGGGCTGGAGAGGTGGCTCAGCAATTAAGAGCGCTGGCTGCTTTTCCAAAGGTCCTGAGTTTAATTTCCAGGAACCACATGGTGGCTCACAACCATCTACGGTGAGATCTGATGCCCTCTGCTGGCATAAAGTCGTACATGCAGACAGAGTACTAGAACATTAATACACATAAAATAAATAGATAAATCTTTAAAAAAAAAAAGTAGAACCTTGTTGTTTGGTTTTTAGCTGGTAGTTAACAGTTTCTTTGCGTGCTCTTTGGAAACAGGGACTATGCAGGTTATCAGTCAATACATCCTGCCTTGTTTGAAAAACAATGTAATTAAAATTCACGGAAGAGAGAATTTGTAAAGTGACAAGCTGCCTTTTAAAGCTGTTCCCATATCTTATTTTTGAATTTACTGTCAGTAATTAATCTACATTATTAAATAAGATCCAGTTCACTGGAGCCACTGAATAATTACTGTGTTAGTAAGTACTGTTTCTGTGACAGTGTAAGTTTTATTAAATATGCCAAGTTGTTTTTAGGGAGCAGTCTCCAAATTCTTTGAGAAGGGGTGAGAAAAACATCATTCATCATGAATCTGACAATTTATGATTAAGATAATAGCATGGAATATAGCAAATTAAAATTTTTAAATGCAATACATGGCCAATAAGGATTATTCCTAAGGGACTTTAATTTTGTTTTCCCTGAAGGCACCGTGACAGAGAAGCTTTTCCCAAAGATTATGACATAGAGGGTCCTGAGACGGTGAAAAAACTGTGTAATTCAACGTATTGGCGACTTGGGACTGACTGTCCAGTAAGTAGTTGCTGTTAATTTCTTTGTCTGAAATCTCTGTCATTCTGAAACAGCAAAAAGCAAGGTGAGGAGTATCTTTTCCAACATTGTTACTCATTTGTGACATTAATTAGGTGACTTAGTTGTAGTGCACTTAGCAAACCTGTACAATGCACCTACTTCTTAAGGTTAGAGGGTGAATTAGATGCAACAAAGTGCTTAGCATGCTACCTGACTGTATTGGTTTTCTGTTGCTATAACAAGATATCTTACATAGGCTACATATGAAGTCAAGCCATTTATTTTGACTCTCAGTTCTGGAGGTTTAAGTCTAAAGTCAGGTCACCTCACTGGTTTGATAAGGGTGGCATGTCATTGGGGAATGTATGTCAGGGTCACCAGCCCCATTTTAAGGCAGGATTAAGAGGGAAACTGAAACTGGGCCACCCAATTTCTTTTCAGAGTATACCCTCAAAAGAGTCTCTTACCTCTTAAAGATCCCCCGTGCTTCCCAGTTTTACCACTGTGGGAGGATGTGATGCTATGCGTTAGCAGCAGTGTCCTGCTGGAACAGCAACAGCTTGCTGGATAACTTCTGTCTTCCAGAAAGACCCTGTGAAGCGGGTGTTCATCTCCACTTTGTAGAGGCAGGGAGAGAGACTTCCGAGAGTTGAGCAGTTCATTCAGAGTCATGTACGCAGGGAATGGGAAAGTGAAATTTGAACCCAGGTGTTATACAAATCTTAAAGGGTTTTATTAATAAAAACAAACCTGGAGCTGGATAATGGGGTGAATGCTGGAAGATCAGAGAAGCAGAACAAGCCACAGCTTCCTCACGTCGCCAATTCCTTACCTGATCCTGTTTCCTCAGATTGGAAGCCTCTGTGTCCTCATCCAAATTGCTCTCAGCTGAACTGCTGCTAAAAAGCTTAAAAGCTTAACAAAGGCTCTTGTTCCTGGTCCTTGTGCCTTATATACCTTTCTGCTTTCTGCCATAGCTTCCTGGGATTAAAGGTGTGAGTCACCATGCCTGGCTGTTTCTAGTGTGGCTTTGAACTCACAGAGATCCGGATGGATCTCTGCCTCCAGAAGGTTAGGATTAAAGGTGTGAGTGCCACCATTTTCTGGCCTCTATGTCTGTCTAGTGGCTGTTCTGTTCTCTAACCCCAGATAAATTTATAGGATGCACAATATATTGGGGGACACAATATATAACCACAGCCAGGTCTCTGATTTTTTTCTTTTTCTTTTTTAAAATACTTTTCTCAAGATAGATGTTACAAGAAATTAAACCTACTATTAATATGATCACAAAATTTTGGGATCCAGGTACAGAAGCTTAGCAGTCTAAAAACTACTGTACTCTTTGTACTATACAATGGCAGTAGCTTTGGGGCTAGATAAAAGCCTGTTTTCAGGGATGGAAGAGATAATGAGTGATTGAGAGCCCTTGCTGCATGATCATGAGGACCAGAGTTAAGATCTCAGTACACACACAATAAGCAGGACATCTGTCACTCACCTGTAACTCCAGCTCCAAGGAGGACAGACACGAGATGATCAGCCTGGCCAGAAAAAAAACAAGTGAACTCCAATGTCAGGGAAAGACCTTGCTCCCCCACCCACCCCCAAATAGCAGGAGAATGGTAGAGAGGAACATGTGCCCTCTTCTGGCCTCTCTATTGGTAATGAGATCTAAGGAATGGGCACCTGAACATATGTGTACACATACACTGTGCACTCACACACAAAATCATATGCACACAACTAAATTCTGAAGACCCCATCCAACCCATTTAAACCTTGGGATGTCTTCTTGGCACTCAGCTCGCATGTGGGTCGAGCTCATGTGTCTGATGTTGAGCACAGTCAATGATGCCTCTGCTACACTCCCTCTAACCCAGGCCTTCTTGAGCATCTCTTGAGAGATATCCTCAGGTTCTGAAGAGCAGCTTTCTTGATGTTGTGGAAGATGAACATGCTGAGAACACCGGGTGGATCTCATGTTTTGCCTCCAAAGGCTGATACTCTCAGATGGCTTTGTGAAATTGGCAGGCCTAAGAAAAGGCATGATTATACATTGGAAATTATTCTAGAATATTCTCTATGCTCTATGGTAGATGGAATGAATTGACTTAGCATGGCAGTTTGGCTTCCTGTTGTAATGAGTACAGGTAGGATGACGTGGGAAATATGAGATTCAGTATAAAATTAAAGCTGGCTTGATGTGGAATGAGACAACTTTCAGGACCCAAAACAATGATAAAGAAGACATTTACCTCTGCACTGTTCTCATTCACACACATGGGGTTTTCTTGACATATCTATTTCTCTGTTCTCATATATAAATACATTTTACTGCTCCAGCCCAAATCACATGGGCAGTATGAGATTTCTGTTTTTGCCAAAGCTTCTTGTTCTTTGGCCCCTAAATGTCTCATTGACAGTCAGCAGCACATGGGTGGAGCTTATGTGTCTGATGTTGAGCTCAGTTAACAGCACCTCTGCTCCATTTTCTCCAAACCTGGGCTTTCTTGAGCAGTGCGTGATTAGAGCAAGAAAAAATTTGAGCAAGATGCACATTGGCTCTGGGTTGTGGGAGGTTAACTGAAATTGAGACTACACCATACAGGGTCTTAGACACTTCTTTCCTTGGCTTCTATATACTCTAGTGGTCAAGGCTTAGACTTAACGGGGATGTTTGCCTTTTCTATACATTTGGTGAAATGTATAGAAAATGATGATCATGAAAACCCTGCCCTTCCTCTACCAGCTTCTGAAGGAAGAAAGAAAGAAAGAAGAAAGAAAGAAGAAAGAGAAAGGAGAAGAGAAAGAAAGAAAGAAAAAAGAAGGAAAAGGAAAGGACATGACTGCACTTAGGTGTGGTGGAGGAGAAAGTTTATTATAGAGATGTGGGAGAGCATAGCCAGAGCCAGAGACAACTGTGAGAATACTGAGTAGACATGACCCTGAGCTGGATGAGGAGAGGGGGAGGGGAAGGGGAAGAGAGAAGAGAGAGCAGAGAGAGGGGAGCCAGGTGATTCAGCCAGGAGGCCCAAAAGAGAGTACATAATAAGAACCCGTAACCAAACTGGCTGGATTATATGGGAACAGCAGCCCAGCCTCCTGGGCTGGAGAGTTCAGAGTAGGGGGCGGGGTATGCAAGCCAGGAGGACACTGGAACAGGTAGGGACTGAGGGATGCTGGGAGAACCCGGTGGCCAGATCTGCTTTGATATATTAAATAAGCACCTCAGCTGTTTGTCCCTTTGAAACCTAACAGTTTCTAGTCTGTTTTTCTGATAGTTTTGTGTATAAAGTACTGATCCATCCATTTTTGTTTTTGTTTTTTATAGCAAAGCTACAAAGTTTTGGAGAAAAGTATTAATTACTATTCTCATTCTAAACCTAACCTGATCAATCTTAACATCACTTACTCATGCCCCAAGTGTTTAGGGAGAGGTAGACACCAGTTCAGGGCTTCCTGGCCACCATATGATGAAGTCCCATTTCCTGTTTTTACCAAAGTTTTGACCGAGGCCTAAAGTCTGGAACAATTTTTAAATTTTTTTTTTTTTTTGAGCTAGTATTTCATGTAGCCCAGACTGGCCTCAAACTTCCCTTGTAGGTAAGGGTGACCTTGAACTTCTGAACTTTCTTCCCCCACCTCCCAAGTGTTGCCTTTATACCCAGCTATGAACACCCTTGATAGTAGTTGAGAAGCACATTGCCTAAGAAGCTGACTTGCCTAGGCAGGACCATCTAAGACCTTCAAACCAGAGTAAAAGTGTTTGCTGTTACATTTTTGGAGAGTGCTGCCCAACGATTTGGAAGAGGATTTGTTTACCTGGGGATTGCTAGTTCCTTTTTCTCTGGCTGAGAGGGATTTCAAAGAAACCATTTAGAGAGACATGTGTCCTGGCATTTCAAAAATGTAGGGCCCCAGTCTGTGACACCAGCCTGAGAACCTTAGTGTGAGGTGCTGTGTCTGACGTGGCAGAAGAGAGGAGAGAGGGAGCAAGCTGCCCTCAGAGTGGCCAAGCTATCTTTGAATGTGCTCGCCTGGTTAAGTCGCAAGGTAAAATCTGCTGGACTCGTTTGACTGTAGGACCGGAGCAGAGAGCCAGCAGCCCAGCACAGGAGACCTTCTAAATCCCAAAGTTCAGGAGAGGAATTGCTGTTCCTGCAGTGGTAGGTCAGAGGATTGACTCTGTGTGGCGGTGGTGGTGGTGTGGGATCTTCCTAATAGACCACACTGCCTCCAGAGTCCAGTCAGAGACATGTGGTGATGGCAGGAAGCAGTGTGGTGTTGCCGCACTCGGAAGGAATAGTAAGAGTCATCCTAAACCCTCACCACGTACCAGCGGGAACTTCTGGATTATGTAGAAGAATAAAAGGATGGGTCAGGAAGTATGCACAGTCAGTCTTGGTCTAACTGTGGTCTTGTGGATCATGATCTCAGGGCTAGTTCCATGAGGTCCTGCTGGCACAAGGGAAATCATTATTGCATGAATGGTGGCAGTTCACTTCCAGTCATGAAGTGACTGCTTCTGCCTGGAGGTGGGGACCAGCCTGGCTCGTCATAGCATGTAGGCAGTGGGGCTATTACGCAGGGATTTGAGATAAACTGAAAAGGATTCATGTTATAAGCTATGGCAGTAAAATATAATCAGTCAAGACAATGACTGAGTCTCCCATCAGGGAAAAAATGATGAATGAGCCAGCCTCCACCGTGGGCTTGAAGGCCATCTTATAGTAAAGACAAAATAGGTGCATTGCTTTTTGTGATTAACCCTCTGTTTCTCAAGGATTGGGCTATGTTCTACCTATCACCTTAACTACAAAGGGTTCTTTGCTGCCTGTTCTGGAATGGCAATGGTGTCTTTGTTTCAAAAGGTTGTTAAGACCATCTTGCAACCCTGCCTTTGTTTCCAAAGGTTATTAACTGCCTGTTGTTATGACTACTTTGTTATGTTCTGTGTCTGTAAACCTGCTTATTGGTAAACTTGCCAACCCCTCCCC